CAAAATCAAAAAAAAGGGAAGCAATTTTTTTTTTTTTTTTTTACAGGAATGAAGAGCACAATTCCTCACAATAAACATCACTATAATATTTTTATTCGTCTCTACGTATATTAATCTTACTTTTTCAATCAAATGAATGCTTCGAAGATTTTTGCAATTAAAGTTTTGCTTAAAAACAGGAAAAAAACAACAAAAGAGACATCAAGTCTCAAGCAAATAAGAGCTTACAGCTTTTGTGAAGACTAGATCAAAAGAAGTAGGCTTTTTGGTGTACCAACTACCAAATGAACACGAATTTCATATATACAAATATAATAGGCACTATTTCTATGCTTCTACATGTTCATTAACAACTCTTCTTCATTCAAAATGGCTGAAAGAACAGCCATCTCATTTCTGGTCAATAGTGGAAATGCTATTTTTCAGTCATCACTGACATTTTCCTTGTTATCACAGCAAGCTATTTCACAACATTACATTTGTTGGGGTTTTTTTTGTGTGTGTTGTTTGTTTTTGTTTGTTTCCTCCTGAATACAAATACAAGCGTTTTTTTCCCCTCCTGTCAAGGAATTAATTTAAGAGAAACAACCCTAGCAAAGTAGTAATGGACAAAAAAATGTAATCCAGAAAAAAAAAGCCATATTTTTAGACTCTTAATGTCTTTAAACTAATTGACAGGATGTTTCCAGTGGGGAAAAAAAACAAAAAACAAATTAAGAATCTCGGGAGCTCAGCAAGATGAAGGGAAAATGGTTTTAAGTTGAAGAAGGGAAAATTTAGGTTGGCTATCAGGAAGGATGTTTTTTATTATGAGAACAGTGAGGTGCTGAAACAGGATGCCCAGAGAGGTTGTGGATGCCCATACCTGGAGGTGTTCAAGGCCAGGTTGGATGGGTCCGTGGGCAGCCTGGTCTATTATTACATGTGGAGACTGGCAGCCCCGTCTGTGGCAGGGGTGTTGGAGATTCATGATCCTCGAGGTCCCTTCCAATCCAAGCCATTCTATGAATCCCATTAGTAAGGACCATAAAGAAAACATTCAATTTTGACTATTATTCAATAAAAATTGCTGCATCTTTGATACCTAGTATCACTATAGAAATCCAGACAGTCCTCACAAGTAACTTAAAATACATATGGAATTCAAAAGAACCTATTCAGCAATGATTCTTGGATCTGCATGATGTTACCTATATAGCTGCGGAGTTTATGTTCTTCAATATGAAAAAAATATTTTCAGTAAAGACCAATTGATAAGCTGTAAAATGGATGGGAAACATTCAGAAATGAGTAGGAAACTATTACTATTTCAGAATGTTATCACTGTAGTATTAAAAACTCATTAATCAAAATCACAGAGTAAAAATCTTCACTACAAGACAGGCTGCACAAGAGCCATAACAAATTTTAAACCATATTTGAGAAAAGGTTTCAAAGAACACAATAAACCTACCTGTTATTTCTGACAATAAACAAGTAAAAGGGAAGGGACTGACAGTTTAGGGAAAACTGAGATGTACAAGAGACAGTAGCAGCAATTCAGTTAGATAGAATTTAATCCTAAGAAGCATTTCCAAGTGATACAATTGAAGACAGCAAAACATGAAAATCGAAAATAGTTTTTAAAGTACCCTATTTTGCACGTACAAAGTTTCAGGAGTGAAAGCAGTTAATGACTTCTATTATTCTTAGTAACAGAGAGCAGAGGGTTTCATCCACTCAGAAGCCAGTCTGAGTGAGTTAATGTTACAATGACAAAGTTTTCACTTGTCCTCTAAAGAGGCTCATACTTCCTACTACAGCTTTAGAGGCCTCCATGACCATACCAGCCATAATGCCACTGCCAGTCATTTTCATATACTTCAGTAGCCACAAAGCAGGGACTACTAACTGAGCACACTCAATACATCCATCTTTCAGACCAACCTTGAGTATCAGTGGGAAATGTACTTGTCAAGCCATCTGACTGAAGATGATGTTAAATTACAGGATTAGATTCATTTTCCTGTTCCCTTTCATAAAACTGTTAGCCTGGCACAGGTGATAAGAGAAACTGCTTCTCTCCTTCCACCTCTCCATATAGAGACTCTGTGCAGCCCTTCCCCTCATGCTGTCACACGCTTGGGTACGATCACAAGGTGAGTCAGATCGCGGAATTAGTCTGGATTACAACAAACCATTTTTGTCAAGTTAATTTTAACCCAGCACAAATCTCTAATCTGTTACTGCAAGACACTATATAAATAATATCAACACGGTGGGGCCAACAAGCATAGCAACGAAACTGTCTCCTCAGTGTTCATAACAGTAAAAAGCGTTTGTAACAGTACAGCCAGCACTACATGAGGAAACACAAAGCACTGCTAACTGTTTCAAAGCCAATTACTTCATCCTACTCAGCACATGACATTCACTGCTTTCAGATGACAGCTAGCACAAACACCTTGCAAATGTGAAATTAATCTTACATGCAGCTTTTAAACATTCTTCACAATGCCTAATTTCCCTGTCTGTGCAAAGGCATTCTGATACTGTTTTCTACTTCTTCATAAGCATTTAAATCAGGGTTGGAATAAAAGTGCTCAGTGAGGCATTGATCGCGCTATTCTAAGTGCAGAACACAATCTTGCAGGCTTGAAACAAAAAAAAAATTATGTCAACACACTGCAAGCAGGTTATACTACCACTCTTCAGAGTAAAGAGTCTTCTCAGAGCACAGGCAGATGTTATTAATGTCTAAAAGCCAATTTTAGCTTAAGCTACTTCAATATATTTTTATAGCCACAAACATTCTTAGTAACAGATTAACAGGGTTAGATTTTCCATATAGATTAATTGGAGGTTAACGTAGTAAGGTTTATAAGGAGTCTTCATTTTACCTATCTGACAATTATCTACTGTAGTAACTACAAGGAGGCACAAATTGCTTTGCAGTATTTCTTTAGCAAGTGTTGGAGATCTTTATCATTTTAACTTTAAAAGATAATTTTAAATAGTATTTTTGAAATGTTTTTAATACTACTAAGAAGCTGAAATTCTCAAACCTTCAACAGGAATGTTTGACACTGATACAGAAGAAGGGTGGAGATTATGAGCAGTACATTGGCTGCCATCATCCAGTACAAGAGACACTGGTATCAATATCAAGAGATACTGGCACTAGCTAGTAAAACATTAAACCTCTTAAAAGTTGTGTTACCCAATAATGGCTGTATTCCCCAAAAGTAGCTAGCAGTCATCAACCTTGAGACAATCTGTTTCCCCCATATAGAGATTCAAGCATCTTGGATTTGCTCTATGATGACACAAGGCACAATCTGGTCTTCAAAACCGAAGGTATACAGTAACTTTTCAATGTCACTGTTTCTTTTAACTGCCAGCCTCACAACAACCTGTTAATCAGAAACACTCAGCAAGAAGCTTAGGATACCCTGGCATTAGAAGTAAATACATTAAATATGTCAATTAAAAGAAACACAGAAATTGACACTTACTTAAAACCGATATTTTCTACAACAATATGTTGAAAAGACACCAGTGTAATTATGATGAAACCAGAAACCATTGAGGACACAACAAATTCAAAACTACAGCTTTAAGCAATACAAACGTGTCAAGGTAAGAATCCAGGTAGACATCTGAATGCCACAGAACAATCACATGCCTGATTAAAGTTCAACATAGACATCCTTACTTGCAGTTGCAGGATTCTGTGCTCAAGAGGAGGAAAAGATGTGAAGGAAAAAGAACGAGCACTTAGCTAAGAGATAATGACGGTAAGAAAACACAGAGGCATGGCAATACTGAGCATCTATACGTACTACAGATATATACACACCATAGACACAGACCCAGTGTATATAATACAATGCTTGCATACGTTTGTGTGTGTAAAGAAGTGTAGTTTCCCTGTCAGATACTCGGAAGAGAGCTCAGTAATTACAAAGATGCCACACGTAAACGTTTGTAAGCCTATGTTTGTGACACCAGCCAAGAGTAATTTAGGAAAGTTACATTGTTCTTCTAGTTTCTTACACCATTCCCCTCCTTTAGGGAATAACTCCTGCTACTCAGCTCAGACACAAAAAAAAAAAAAAAAAAGATGAAAAAAGCAGAACACATGCAGAGATGCCAACCTCGTGTCTCACAGCCATTACCAACTTACAACTACAGCAACCTGAGTGTCACCCAGGATCAGGCCCAACCACACCACAGCCTGACACCGCACAAGGATTCCCATGCAGGAACCGCCCGTTCTCGTGCCATCCACAACCCCAACACCCTCTGGAAAAGAACAATGGGGCGCAGCCGGGCACGGAGGGATACCGAGGAACCACCACCCTTCAGCCCCCTCACACAAAGGGCTCGGCCCGGGCTCCTCCAGGCGGGGGGAGGCGGAACGGTGCAGAGCAATAACGGGTGCAACGGTTCTTCACCCCCTCCCTCACTATCCTCCCCCCCTCCCCCCCGGCAGTCCCGCATCGTCTCATCCCGCAGCGCTGCGGTTTAACGGCCCAGGTGAGCCGCGGCAGAGCAACAGGCGGGCGGGGGCAGCCGCCTCCCCGCGAAAAGGGCTTCTCCAGCCGCCGGGCGGTGGGGGACAACGGGCACTGCCGGCGGGGCTCCACGTTTGGACACGGGGACAGCCAGGAGACAGCGGCCTACCCCAGGGGCCTCCCGAGGAAGGAAGGAGCGAGAACGCAGCGCTCCGTTTCGATCTGGGCGTGCTCCCGCTCCGGGCCCGCGGGAGGGGGAGGGGAGGCGGCCGCAGGTGAGCGCTCCGCCGGCCTCGGGGGCGGCAGCGCCATCTGCGCCGTGACGGCGGGCGGCAGGGCCGGGCTGCAGGGCGGGGACGGCACCCGGGCGGCCGCATCGCCGCTCCCCCCGCCCCGAGGCCGCGTTATCCGCAGCAGCGGCCGCATGGCACGGGGCGACGAGCGGGAAGACAGCTCGGGGAAGGGCCCCTACAACACCGCGGGGGGGGGGGGGGAGCGCGTTACCTGCCCGGGTGGCCGCCCAGCTCCCGGTCGCTCAGCGCCGCCGTGTAAATCTTCCGGTATCTGTCGGCCAGGGCCTTCCCCGAGAGCAGCAGTTGGTAGCGGCCCCGGCAGCCCGAAGGCGGCGGCAGGGCTCCGGGCAGTGCTCCCAGCGCGCCTCCGGAGCCCTCCTCGGGCCCCATGGCCCCCGCGAGAGCGGAGCCGCCGGAGAGGAAGAAGAAGCCGCCCTCTGCCCCGGTGCAGGAGGCGACGGCTGCTCCCGCAGAGGCGGCGGCTGCGGCGCTCATCCCCTCCCCGCCCGCCCCCTGGTGGCTGCGCAGCCCGCCGGCCCGGCGCGCACACAGGCGGCTCCCGTCGCCTTCACCGCCGGGGCCCGGCCATGGGGAGGCCGCTGACGCCGCCGCCCCGCGGGCTGCGCATCCACTCGGGCCGGAGCCGGGCTGCGGAAACGCGCCCGCTGCTCCCTTCGACTGCCCCTCCGACCCAGACGCAGCGCCGACCGCCGCCGCCCTCTCCTGCAGGCGGACGCGCCGAGCTCCGGGCAGCACCGTACACCTCGGGTCCGGCGGCCCGGCCAGCCGCTTCCTTCTCCCGCAACAGGGGGCGGAGGCCAGCGGCTACCGTTTCCCCTCCGGAGTTTCAGCACGGCGCCACCGCCCTGGCCGCGCAGCCGCCGGGGCCCCACCTCCCTCCCGGCGACAAGCGCATGCGCCGCCCCGCCTCCCGAGCGGCCCCCGGGAAGTGCGGGGCGGGTGAGTGCCGCACCTGCCCTCGGCAGCTGGTGGTGGTCTTCAGCGCGGAGGGGTGTTGCTCCTACAGGGCGGGGTGTGGCGAGCGACTGCGTGGGCCACGGGCACCTGAGGAGATCCCTCATGTTTGCTGAGGAGGGAGGGGAGCGCTTTTCTTTCGCTGTCTCAGAGGTTGTGGATGCCCCGTCCTTGGAGGTGTTCAAGGCCAGGTTGGATTGGGCCCTGGGCAGCCTGGTCTGGTATTAAATGAGGAGGTTGGTGGCCCTGCACGTGGCAGGGGAGTTGGAGATTCATGGTCCTTGACATCCCTTCCAACCCTGGCCATTCTGTGATTCTGTTCTAGGGGTCTGTCACTGTGCTGACCCCTCGTGCTCCGATCTCTGCTCTGCCTTGTGCTGGTGTGACCAACTGCAGCACCGGCCTCCCACGGCCTTTGTGTTCTGTACCACGAGCAGGTCAGACTCCTGGCAGGGAGGGATGCCCTCTTTTTTAACACTTGGATCCCTACATGCAATAGCTACACGTGGTCAAAATTTCCTTAGATCGTCTTCACTGTCCTCAGGATGCTCTGCATATCTTTAGAGGAAAAGGAGGCATGGCAGCATGCGCCCTTGTAGCGTATATTCTGTTACCTCCTTTTATTCATTTCTTTCATTTTCACTTTTTATCTCTTGTAATTTTAGCTCTGCAGTTCTGTCACCCTTTCTACTGTATTACCCAGCTGAAAGCTTCAAGCATACAGGTATGTCCTGTAAAAATAATCTGTACTAAAATAAGACTGCATGTAAAATGCAGCTTGGATTTAAGTCTGTAAAAAAAACTATCTCCCAAACACAATGCATACTGTCCTTCATTTATTTTCCAAGTCAGGGCCTAAAAAAGCCTGGAATTCTGCTGCTAATGAATATGTATATGTAGGTTGCTCTGAAAGTAATGCCTCCTATTTATTTCCATGGAAACAACAGCACATACAACAACACTACTTGAGAGAGCAAATTCTGAACTACAGAGCACTACTTTTTAAAACAGTCATCACCATTAGCTACACATCTTTTCCAGTGATGAACAAGGACCTGTTTGGTGAACTTATAAATATCCGTACCAGTGGAGGTGGCCCTCTGTCGCTGAAATGCATCACCCAGTGCCTCGCTGTGCTCACATCCAATGTTTGGTCTCCACAGTAAACATCAGTGAATGTCAGTGGGTGTCATTTTTTTTCACATGAAATAATTCAGTGACACACCTTTGCTCCATACGCACTTCCATGTCAGTCATACGCACCACGTTGTCAGTCTGCCCCTCTGCTGCCATCTGTTGCATGGCAACAGCGTGTAATGGAATATTGGTAGGAAGGTATCAGCCTCTACTGCCGTGTCACCACCATCTGCCTCTGACATCATAGGCCAACATAAAATAGAAGACATTACTTTTGGAGCAGCCCTCTTACAGGGCTCTATCTGTATAGATAGAGTTGCAAACAACTTTCTGTGTAACAGCAAATACAAACTATGTAACTGTCATCTTTGTTATGCTCCTATACACTTAAGTGTTCATGCGAAATTTCAAATACTTTGTACAGAGAAAGAAGGATGCTAAAGATAATAAACTGTACAGGATTTCTTTGGAATAGCTGGCTTGGTAACAAAGTTAGCCAGATTGGTACCATCACTGAGAAAATGTTTCTTTCTGAATGCACTTTGAGGCACCAGAAACCATCCGCTAAGTACTTAAAATACTAACTACATAAAAAGCCTTCCTTATAATTTATATATTGCAGAATTTGTGGGGAGGAGAAAAAAAGGAAAAGAAAAGGATAATACAGCAGTGAGAAAAGAAACCACAAAGAAACAAGCTCCATGTCTCATGGTGCCAACCCCACCAAATTGGTTTTGCTCTGGCAAACAGAATGATAAGCCTTGTTCACTCCTCTTTTAGAGACTGCCTGAAATCATTCACACAGGCAAGAACTGGGAGCCTTTTAGCTTATTTTGTGATTTGTTGCAACAGCTGCTACTCTTCACCAGGCACACAGTGCCTGACAAATGAGCTATCTTCTGGTATAAAATTGCACATCAAATCTCAAAACCTTTCCTCTGCACGTATGCTTTTGTAGCCATCTTTATACAAGTGCTATAAAAGTGAAGTACTGGCAAAGTTTTAGGAAAATGATGCAATTTATTGCAATTCTTGCATATTGCTCCACACTCTAGAACATGTCTAGGCTGGCGTTGTACAGAGTTGCACACAGTATGTGGAATATTGTTCTTTGCAAACTGCAACTGCTGTTCTGCATCTCTTTTTATCTTAAGTCTTTGCTTTTTAGAGGGAATCTCTGTGTCTGCAGTGACTTCTCCCACAAACTTCAGCTTAGGATGAGCTAAAATATTTGATAACTGACACCACAATTGAGGAGAAGCCCCAGCAGCAGGACTTGCTGGGGGCAAGGAAAACAGCCTGCAGGAAAGGACGTGGGGGTCTGGGCGGACACCAAACTGAACGTGAGCCAGCAGTGTGCCACTGCTGCAAAAATGCTGCATTAGGCAAAGCATTGCCAGCAGGTCAAGGGAGATGATCCTTCCCCGCTGCTCAGCATTGGCGAGGCCACACCTGGAGTAGTGGGCCAGTTCTGGGCTCCCCAGTACCAGAGACATAGGCAATTGCATACTTCTGCAAATGGTATAAAATAATTACATGTTCAGACTTGTTAATCCAAAAGTTAAAAACGGTGATACAGTTTCAGAGAATCTGTTCACACCAGATTAACCCTTTGTTTTATGTAGCTGCAGTGCTTTTTATCTAGCAGAAGATGCTTGTATTCATTATAAGCATAATCTCAGTCAACTGAAAGTGACTATTTTTTGGTAGTTCTACTTTGCAACCAGAATGTATCTTCTGACAATACCCGCTTCATTTTTGGTACCATTTACTTGCTGGTATTGAATGAAGCACTCTGTCAGTCAGCCTCTCTCTTTTACCTTAACGTGGGATTTTCAGCAGTTACATTCATAAACTTGGCACCTTTATGAGTAGTTTCTATCTGAAAAAATAGCTCCAAAGTCACCTGGAATTCAGAGTCTGACAGTCCATGCTGTTCAGTATCTCTGCTCACATGAATCATTGTGTTTCGACACAGCAGAACAAGAAATTCTAATATGTAATTCAAAAGCTCTCATATCCTTCATGACTGGATATAAAGGGGAAATTTCTACAGTTTCACAATCTGACCCTTTCACTTTTGAATTACATTTCTAGGCTTTGATTCTTTAAAACTTTCTCAGCATGATGTATTTTTTACGGTTTATTACAATTGATGGTAAATTTCTTGTTCACTGGAAGCAGCAAACAATTCTTTAACGATAAAAAGTGCAAAACAGAAACTGTGTTGACTGTTGACTCGTGACTGTGTTGACATAGCCACCTTCATTCCTACAATGGAGATGCTCATCCCTATATCACCTTTTTTTCCAGCTGACACCTTCTCATGCTAGCCCACGTTTAGCTTCTCTATGCAGCACCAAGAGAAGGAAAAGAAGTCTTACTTACTAAAAAAAGAAAAAGTGAAAAAATGTAAAAATGTACTTCTAAGTTTGTTTTCTTAGGTATGGTTGGTTTTTCTTTCTCCTTTTTTTTTTTTTTTTTTTTTTTTTTTTTTTTCAAGTTAAGTTTTCCCAACATTAATTGTAAAGACATGCTAAAAGACAACAAATAAACAACAACAACAAAAGAAAAAACGTATTTTCTATTCTGTGTGCAAGCAGTCACAGATTCCAAAGAGCTTGCTAATTGAAAGGTCTCTATGTGCATCCCTTCTCCTACTTCTGTTTTTAAACAGTCTGTTGTGGTAACATCTAGACTATAGGTCTGCTTTAGCTGAACTATGCTATCTTCTCCTTGAAATTCCTTCTTTAAAAGTCACTTAATAGAGAAAAATTTGTGCAAAGTGAAAATGTACAGCTGAGGCATTTCATAAAGCTGTACCATATGTATCAGCTCTTGAAGTTAAGATAATAATTCCTTCCAACTACTAGTGAGATCAACAAAGAAACCTTCTACATTTTACTTCTACTATGATGATATGACTGGCATTAAAATAAACAAAAATACAATAAGAGTGTGTGAATGAAGTGGAAAAAAATAAAGAACCAAAAAGACTATTAGAAACCTGCAAAGATTACATTACTAATGGTTCATAAAATATAATGGCTGTGAAATTATCTAGATTGAGATGTAGATAAAATACGGTTTGACATTCAAATCTACAGATGCCAGCAAGGTTTGAAACTGGACGCTGTCCTTGGAAACAGCAAGTGCTCTCCAAAATAACATGAAATGCTTATTGGATTATTACTTTGGGTGAAGAAAAAAAAAAATACAGACTTAGATGCAATCTCATCCACAAGTCCTGCTGTAGAAATACAGGAATGGAGGAACCACTTTGGTCTTCAAGACCAGTCCTTCACCAGAAATGATGCAAGAGATGCGGAGACTGTAAACCCTTTACAAGACACAGAGCACCTATGTTCTGTTGAAATCTAAAGGGTGGGTTTGGGTTAGACATAAG